GCTGGTGCAGACCTGGCCGGCCTCCTCCTGTCCCCAGCAGCATGTGGGAATCCGGCTTCAGCTGCATGCACTTTTCCTGGCCGGTGCAGACCCGGCTGAGTCCGTCCCATCCGGAGCAGCATGCAGCTGAAGCCGGCTTCCCACATGCTTCTGGGGACGGGGCGCAGCTGGGTTGGCACTGGCCAGCAAAAGCGGCAGCAGAGCCTCCTGCCTTTTGGGACCAGCTGGCACAGGTAGGGGGAAAGTGCAGCAGCACGTGGGGAAGCCACTGCTTGATAGGGGGAGAGATGGGCTGGCCGGGCTGCACCGGGGAGGGAAAGCTGTGGTTGAGACCCCTGCGGCTCAGGATGGGAGGGGTCCTACAGCACTGGAGGGTGCTGTGCTGGTGAGGGGACGTGGGCTTGGGCTGGCTTCTGCTGTGCCACAGGGGGCCGGGGGGGGCCATGTCCAGGTTGTGCTGGCACCAGTGATGGGGGTGGGGATTAGCCAGCTTTTGAGGCCTGGGGCCTGATGGGGTGAGCTGAGTCCTTGCCTGTGGGAAGGGCCAGGTTCCAAGACCACCTCTCCAAAAGAAGTACTTTCACAGGCAAAGGGAGGGGACTTCCGGTGGCAAAGGTCAGGGGTTGGGGGGGTGGGGCAACTGAAGGAGCGGGGCTACCCATGTGGCCCTCGACAGCTCGCCAAAACTCATCAAGTGGCCCTCTGCCCAAAATAATTGCCCGCCCCTGTGTTAAGCCCACAATCTTCCAGTTCTTTTACAAGGATATTGTGGGATACTAAATCAAAAGCCTTTTGAAGTCTAGATATATAATGTCAACCTTCTCTCCCGTGTCCAGGTAGCGAGAGACCTGTTTGTAGAAGGAGATGAGATTGGGAAGGCAAGACCTACCCGCGATGAAGCCACGCTGGCTGTGGGTCAGAATCTTACTCTCAACAAGCGTATCGCACATAGATTCTTTAATGAGTTTTTCCAGGATTTTCCCTAGGATGGAGGTTAGGCTGATTGACCTATAGTTGACCAGATCCTCCCTCTTCCCCTTCTTGAAGATGGGCACAATGTTGGCCTTTTTCCAATCCTGAGCGATTTCCCCTATGTGCCATGATTTCTGAAAGAGTTTTGCCAGGAGTTCTGCAATGACCTCAGCCAGCTGCATCAGCACTCTCGCGTGAAGTCCATCCGGTCCTGCTGACTTATAAATGTCTAGCTTTTCTAGTTGGTATTGTACCAGCTCAGCATCCAGTGGGAAGGCTATCATTCCCACCATGCCCTTTGTGATCCTCATCCCACTTGTCTTTCCCCTGGGTCCGGTGAAATACCAAAGCAAAGTGGGCATTCAGTTCAATTTTTTCCTGAGTGTGTGTTACTAGCTGTCCTGAGGTGTTAAGCAGGGACCCCACACTCCCATCTGTTTTTCCTTCTACTGCCTAAATACCTAAAGGAGAACTTCTCATGGTCCTTGACTCCCTTGGCTAACTTAAACTCAGTTGCCACCTTAGTTTTCCTAATCATTTCCCTACAAGTGTGGACCGCTGTTGTACAGTAGGACTGTCCCTAGCTTCCACTGTATGTATGCCTCTTTTTTTCCCCCCAAGAGGACCACAATGTCCCTATTGAGCCAAGGGGGCTTGCCAGCCCTTCTGCTACCTTTCCTCTTCATGGGAACAGTTTTCTTTCGTGCTTCAAAGTGTGCTTAAAACTAGTTTCAGGTGTTAATGTGTGGACAATCCAGGGGTTAAGAGCTCCAGGAACTGCCACAAATTAATGTGCAACAAGGCCCTTAGAAAAGCCTCGTGGTTGGAGTACTCACCCAGGAAGTTGTGCTAACCTCCAGGGAATCTCAATTCTGACAGCTAAGTTCCTCCAAATTAACTACTGTCTACTGTCAACAGTAATTTCTACCTCCCTCCACTGTAGCACTGCCAACAACATGTTTTATATGGCTGGTCCATATCACAAATGATCCAAATAAGAATGGGGCCAGAATGAGATGGAGATCCAGGCAGGAGAATAATGGGACAATACCACCGCCTCAGCCCAGCACAGTGCTGCTCATCATAAAGCATCTTCAGAGTGGATCAAGTACAAGTATCAAAACTATTTCCTCATCTGTACCATGGGAAAAAGCAAAGGGATTTCTTCATCCCAGACACATGTAGCATATGCACTAACTAACCCTTATTTTTCCTATGTGGAATAGATGACTTGAAATTGCTTGGAATAGATTGAGATCACATGGCTATGGTATTTTAATAGAAAAATACATTTTGTATTAATACAAACATGCAGAAAAAGGCAGATTTCATTTCAACACTAACCACTTTTTTTTTTTAATTCAATTTATAACACTTAGAGCCTGCTTAATTATGCTTTAAAGTCCCCTGGACAGCTTTTTAGAAATGATGGCAAACAAATGCATCAAGTGATTTCACTTCATGCCAGAAGCATCACAAGTAGCTGGGAAATCCCCTTTACTATCCCAAAGCCAGTACTTTGCATAACTTGCTGGTCTTGCAAGTGAATATTCCAATTCTTCCCATTTTTTGCTGTTGCAAAGCCATCATCTAAAACTACTGGATTTCAAAATCTGGAAGGTGAGTGGCTTGAAGAGCTTGTTCAAGACAGCTGTGTACCCTTTGAAAAAACGGAAAATGGTTGTTAGGAGAAGGGGACATAAAGAATCTGTCTCCTCTCCTTGCTCCACCTCATCTTTAACACTGCTCTGCTCTACTTCACCACTGACTTTGCCGTTTCCTTCTGATGCCTCTTCATCTACCATCTTCATAATTCACTCTTATACCTAGAACTATTGGTACAGACTTGAGCTCCCATGTTTATTACTATGATTACCAGGCTTCAGAGGGCTGTAAATGTCAACTGGGTGGCCACCTTACTACTGTGCTAATCCTACTGAACCGTAAAAAGCTGTTTTCCTGAAGGGAGCTGTGAAAAGACCAGGTAAGCTTGCTGAGACTAGGTCTGAAAGAGTTAATCCCCTCTCTCACTATTAATAAAGTAAAGGAAGACTGGCTCTGTGTGCATTGAGGACCCTTCAAAAAAAATTACAGTTGCCCCAGTACAAGTATGTTTTGAACAGAAGACAAAAAGCAGGTTTGGAGGAACCTCTCCCTTCCCAGCACTTCCAAATGGAAAGCTGGCATGACAGTTTCCTAAATGCATAAAACTGTACCAGAAACGATGAGATTGTGTTAGCATTGTCACCAACTCCAAGAATTTGCATCCTCCCTTTGTGGGTTTTGAAAGATCATTCCTCTCTTGCTTAGTTCTCTCTTTTCTCTCAAACTGGCTTGTCATGGCACTACACATTATTACTTTCTAAATAATTCTTCAGAAGAGATTTGCATGCTTACCTACTAGATATGTAATGCATCTGCTTATTTACATTGTGAACTCTGTATATCCTGATTAAATTTACTGGAATTGGGTTATTCTGAGAACACAGCCACATCAGGAATACAGTATTTCTACTATGAGCTGGTCTCCTCTTGTGACAAGTAGTGCTGTTGACTTGAACGGAGTTGCTCTTTGTTTATGCTGGTAAAACAGAGAGCAGGACCAGAGCTATTGTTCGTTAGGGCTGCAGTATTGATAGAAGAGCAATATGGACAAATAGAGAACTTCCTGAAAACTAGAGCAGCTCCATTTGACTGTCTTTGATAGGTGTCATCAAACCCTTGGTAATGATTACCACTGTACTTGCTAGATTGGCTGAATATTCCTACTCCTAGGAGTGGATAGTCCCTAAATGGTTTAATTGGGAATCACCATTACAGGGATAAACCAGAGTGGGTATCTGGAGAGGGGAACACCAATTTCAAAAACGATTTTCTTGCACATCTCAGGGCCTTCTGAAAAACTTCAGTGGCTGCCCTGGACGTTCCTTTCCATTTTGTAATACAGAGCAGCCCAGGGGATTTGCTACACCAGGACCTTTCACATTTGCCTCATCTCATAATTCAAACCAGCACTTAAAAGTCCCCATCATACAAACAGACACAGAACGTGAAAATACAGAAGTATTTGATTTCACACTGTGGGTCTCAACTCCCCATAAGCCCAGTGCCCAGTTTTCACAGACAAAGGAAGACTCCCATTGATTTCAACAGGAGCCGAATCAAGTCCTAACTTCTCAGAAGGCAGTGCTTGGACCATACCTTAATAAGCTACAAACTAGGGGGGAGATTAAGCCACTTCTTCCCCATAGGCATTGTGGGGTACACAAGCATGAAGACAGCTTTTGCTAGGAAAAATTACCCCTACAGCAGCACAAGCACAGTTGTGGCCTTGGTAATGGGCTTTGGATAAAGCCCCCTGACCAGTACAACAACATTCTGGGTTCCTCCAAACTCTTGGGGATGCACACTACAGAAAAGACACAGGAAGGAAAGTGATGGGAACTAGGTTCTTCTTTATGACAATGCATTTCTTCCCTCCTTCTCTGCTCTTGCACACTAGTTCTGTCAGTCAGGAAAAGGAAGGGACTCCTCCCCCTTGCAGAAGGATTCTTAATTACACAAAAGGAGAAGCACTAGGCCCTGGACACATTTGTTTGTTCACAGACATCCTGAATGCAGTGGTTTATTTATTTAGGAAAATGAGAAATAACCCATAAAGTCTGTCAGACTGTCTAGTGCCAGTGGCTATCTGCCAACACAGAACCCTCGGGCTCATTAAAGAAAACATGAATCCATCTTCTTAAATTTAAGTACTTTTTTCTGAACCAATCTTCCAATCCTTTTCAAATGCAGTAAGATACATGCAGTCCCAAGCCGTCAGTGGCACAGTATTCGATTACACCGTGGCTTTGTGGTAGTAAACAAGATGCACTTATGTTTCATTTGTATTTCCATAGGAAAAAGGTTACGTGTATTTAGACATCTCTCTCTTGAAATGCTGACATACAGTTCAATGGAAGCATCCTACGGCGGAGTCCAAGAAACAGCAGGTGGATCTGAGCACAATGGAAAGGGTTAGGGTTAGGCTAGCATATCAGAAGCCCTTCCTTTGCTGCCAGGCGCTGGCGATGGATTTTGTCTTGCTGCAGCTCCTCATGATTTGGGTGCCAAAGTTTCATGATGATTCTCTCAATGTTCAGAGCATAGACGGTATGTGCAGGAACAGCTTCCCTGTGCACCTGTAGGTTGCATTTGGAAAGCCTCATTAACCAGATGCTCTCATAGTTGTTTCCCCTATTTCTAAAATAAGAACTTAACAGTGTTTATCTGTGGGCTGATTCTGTGCATCCAGCAGTGCAGAAACACAGAAATACGTAATATTAAATCTAATCTTCTAGTGTTGCCACACATACCACCTGGCCCCATTTAAACCACTGGCATCAGCCAGGAGAAACAAACAGGCTTTGCCACAGGACCCTCAGGTCCATAAACCTGGGATGTATCAGACCCAGGGGTGAAAGCAAATTCCAGGAGTCGGGAGCTCTCCTGGTGAGAATGCTTTGCCAAGCTATAATCCAAAAACCGTGAGGGGAAGCATCTGAGCAGACATCAAGTGTCTGAACAGGATGTGCAAAAAAAAATGGGATTTATTGAGCACATTGTTTGGCTGGGTACATGCCAGAATCTCACAATCTGATGCAGCTCCTGCATGATTCCTATGACTGATTCAGTGGAAGCCATAAAGAAAGGGCAGGGGTGGGAGTTGAAACTCCCATGTAGAGAAACCATTACCTAATGGCTACTGTGCTGGCATTAGGGTGTCAATATTTATTCAGTTGGTGGGGCCATGCCTGAGTCCCAGCCTGAAGCTCTGCACACAGTTCCATGTATAATTGTGGATTAAAAAAGGAAAATCAAGGAAAATGGTCCAATGAATTGGGAGACAGAAAAGCAAGAGAATCTGAGGAGTCTCTAGGTAAAATCATAGGAAATTAGAATTGGAAGGGACCTCAAGAGGTCATCTAGTCCAGTGGCTCTCAGCCTTTTTTGTTCCAGGACCCATCTGTAAACATCAATGGCCAGTCCTGACCCAGTGTCCCTCACTCCCAACCCACTACCCCGTCTCCAGCCCCCCAGGGTGTGCGCGTGCGTGCGTGCGTGTAGGGCCCAAGCAGTCCCTTGTAGGCTGGAACTCTGCCAGTCTGCAAGGGAAAAGCCAGTTTCCCACATTTTTCTCCTTTAAAGGAGAACAAACTTTTAAAAAATGGATTCATGAGCCTGTCATATATTCTTGCAATACACTTTTGGGTTGTGACCCACAGGTTGAAAAACACTGATCTAGTCCAACCCCCTGCTCAAAGCAGGACCATCCCCAACTAGATCATTCCAGCCAAGGCTGTCTAGCCAGTTCTTAAAAACCTCCAAGGATCGAGATTCTACCACCTCTCTGGGTAACCTGTTCCAGTGTTTTACTATCCTCCTAGTGAGAAAGTTTTTCCAAATATCTGATCTAAGCTTCCCTTGCTGCAGCTTGAGACCACTGCTCAGAACAAGGGTTCTGTCATCTTCCACCACTAAGAACAATCTAGCACCATTCTCTTTCAAACCTCTCCTTAAAGTGAAGTACTTGAAGGCTGCTATTAAATCACCTCTCAGTCTTCTCTTCTCTAGACTAAATAATCCCAGTTTTCTCAGCTTCTCCTCACAAGTCATGTGCCCCAGCCCTCTAACCATTTTCATTGCCCTCTGCTGGGCTCTTTCCCATTTGTCCACATTCTTTCTGTAGTGCAGGGCCCAAAACTGGACACAGATATGTCCTCACTAGTGCTCAATAGAGGGAGAGGTACATAAGGCAAATCAGACACAATCAACTGTTTCTGCTCAAGAAAGCATTTCCTAAACCCACACTGCAGAGGAGCGTGAACCATTACCTGTAGTGCCTCAAAAAGGTCGTACATATTCACTGGAGGGAGACTCATTGGTAAAGTGTCTCCTGAACATGCTAAGAGAAGAGCTGCCTGCTGCTCAGCATCATCAGGAGGAGGTTGGGGAGCTAGGTTCTGACCAGCAGAAGGTGCCACGCAAGTGGGAGGACTGTAAAGAGACAGACAATTACACACACTAGCAAATCAACCAGCATCTACTTTGGAATCACCAGGGCACTGGCTAGGAACACAGTGAAGATAAGACCCGCTGCCTAACAACCTCTAGCCTTCACCAGTCAGGAGTTTGCTGAGACAAAACATATTCTTCTCTCTTAAGGTTTTACATCATCGCTAGTAAGAAAGGACCTCTTCTAGCAGCCATGGGAAGTTGGAAGCCCTGGGATAGAAGCACTGGCTTCAAATTCAACACTGTCCTATCATCCCATGAAAGACTGAGGCGGCTCAGTCTTCAAGATCCACTAGCCATGTTTGAAACCAGAGTTCAATGAAAACTTACTTACCATTCAATTAAATTATTGTAAGCAACAACACTGTTCTTCAGGTATGGCTGAGGGTTAACATTGCTTCCAAAGGCATATCTGAAATGACCATCTCTCAGACGATAGGCTTTCCTCCTGGATATCACAGATATCAGAATATCCTTAAGGTGGTTCTGTAATGCAAAAACTCTACCTTTACCATTTACAGACTTCCCTTCCACTCAAAGACTGCTGTGATCACAGTATTACAAATGTCTGTGGTTACACATGCAGTGTTCATTTTAAATCTATAAATATTAATTGATGTATGCTGTTCTATGGTAGCTTCTATTATTAAAGGAATAATACTGTAGTGTTATTTTAAAAAACAAAGTCAGTGACGAGTAAGCGAAATGAACGGGTCATGCATATTTGGACAAAAATCTGCTAATAATTTTATAGATTTCTTCCATATCTGAAAATCAAGCTGTTATAAAACAGCTGCATACCAACATTTAGATGAGGGAGGACTGTCCATTTCATAACCTCATTTGTACCCAAAATAAAATACCAGCATTGTAAGCATTTGTTGCCTATGAATTAAAGCATATTTTAAAGACCTACTGATGCCAACTTTAGAAGGTCTTTTAAAATGTCAGAAATGACAGGAAATTCCCATTAGTATTCTCATGTAAAAGACAAAAAGGGTATTGAAATCAGCATTAAATATTGCACTGGCACCAAAACACTTCCCAAACAGCTCTGTTGAAAGCCACACATTGATGTTTTGCATTTCAGACCTTGCTTCTAGCCTGACACTGCTGGAGAGAAGTTACCTCTAGGAGGACAAGTAGTGAGTTGACCCCCATCTGGGCTCGCTGCTGTTTGGAGAGATCAGAATGACCTTTTGAGTTCTGAGTCAAGGAAAGTCCCAGGGTGTCTCACTTGGGCCCAATCCTGAGACATGCTAATTGTCACAATCACATTAAAGATGACAGAAATGGCAGGTAATCAATACTTGTCAGGCTCAAGTGTGATCGGATTTACCCACCTTGCCTAGTTCTCTCAACACCAGACAATTTTCACAAAACCTAAAAAAAAAAAAAAAAATGTTCTCTGGCCTCTCTGCAGAGCCACTGCTTGCAATGGAATGTGAATTTAAACCAAAAAAAAAATATAGGAGGAAAATTATTTTTAGTTCTTTTTTCAAAGGCTACAGTCCCAAAATTTTCAAAACAGCTGTTAAAACTGGCCCTACAATTTCTCACATCTAACATTTTGCAAGTCTCATTTGTGTACATGAACCCAAGATTCTTTCTGTGCACCCAAGGCTCTGACATGAAGACCTGCAAAAATAACTTCTGATGCCAGTCTGAAGCCCCCTTGAAAAACATTACCTGAGATCTTTTGTGATAGTAGAGAAGCAGATTCTCTCTCATGCTCTGTGTACCCCATCCCTACACCAGGGATATAATCAAACACCTTGTTGCTTTGTCTTTTCTAACCTCCACAGCATAAATAACAGCTGTCACTGCCTCTTCGGTAACGTTGTCCAGCCCATGTTCGTATGCAGTTACTATCATCCTCCCTTCCAGCTGGCCCCGAGTAGGAAGCATCATGGTGTGGGAACATAGCTTCAGATCATCATCCTCTTGAGGGTCCTTTGCTACAAATTGCTGTGCCCCAGACAATGGGTTCTGAGGTTGAAACCGGTGCTGTCAGGTAAAAAATAAAATAAATTTGAAGCTTAGCTTTAAATTTAAAAATTAGAGATTTTAGGTGAGAGCACAAAATTGAAAGGTAGCTCAAGGGTCACCTGGCCCAACCTCCTGCCAAAATGCTACTCCTAAATCATCCCTGTCCAATGCTTATCCAGCTCTTTTTGAAAATCTCCAGTGAATAAAATTCTACAACTCCCCTGAGCAATCTATTTCACTGCCTTATTGGTTCTAACAGTAAGGAATTTTTTTTCTTGAGATCCAATCTAAATCAACTTTGCTGCTATTTATGGCAGCCACCAACTATTTGAAGACTACTATCAAGCTAAACATGTCTAGCTCTCTCAACCTTTCCTCATACAGTTAGTCTTCCAAGCCTTTTATCATTTTTGTCGCTCATCGTGGTGGATGGGTTGGTTTTGACCTGGAAGGGTGTGGGCAGTGGGGTCCCGCAGGGCTCGGTCCTTGGACCGTTACTCTTTAATGTCTTCATCAACGACTTGGAAGAGGGAGTGAAGTGTACTTTGTCCAAGTTTGCGGATGACACAAAGCTATGGGGAGAAGTGGACACGCCGGAGGGCAGGGAACAGCTGCAAGCAGACCTGGACAGGTTGGACAAGTGGGCAGAAAACAACAATGCAGTTCAACAAGGAGAAATGCAAAGTGCTGCACCTAGGGAGGAAAAATGTCCAGCACGCCCACTGCCTAGGGAATGACCTGCTGGGTGGCACGGAAGTGGAAAGGGATCTTGGAGTCCTAGTGGACTCCAAGATGAACATGAGTTGGCAGTGTGACGAAGCCATCAGAAAAGCTAATGGCACTTTATCGTGCATCAGCAGATGCATGACGAATAGATCCAAAGAGGTGATACTTCCCCTCTATCGGGCGCTGGTCAGACCGCAGTTGGAGTACTGCGTGCAATTCTGGGCACTGCACTTCAAGAGGGATGCGGATAACCTGGAGAGGGTCCAGAGAAGGGCCACTCGTATGGTTAAGGGCTTGCAGACCAAGCCGTACGAGGAGAGACTAGAGAAACTGGACCTTTTCAGCCTCCGCAAGAGAAGGTTGAGAGGCGACCTTGTGGCTGCCTATAAGTTCACCACGGGGGCACAGAAGGGAATTGGTGAGGTTTTATTCACCAAGGCGCCCCCAGGGGTTACAAGAAATAATGGCCACAAGGTAGCAGAGAGCAGATTTAGATTGGACATTAGGAAGAACTTCTTCACAGTTCGAGTGGCCAAGGTCTGGAACAGGCTCCCAAGGGAGGTGATGCTCTCCCCTACCCTGGGGGTCTTCAAGAGGAGGTTGGATACGCATCTAGCTGGGGTCATCTAGACCCAGCACTCTCTCCTGCCTGTGCAGGGGGTCGGACTCGATGATCTGTTGAGGTCCCTTCCGACCCTAACATCTATGAATCATCTCTGGACCGTCTCTAACTTCTCCACACCTTTCTTAAAATGTAGATCCCAGAACTGCATGTAGTACTCAATGTGGACAACATTGAGAGGGTCTAGAGGAGGACCACCCACATGATCCAAGGACAGCAGGGCAGACCCTACAATGAGAGGCTACGGGACCTGAACCTGTTCAGCCTTCACAAGAGAAGGCTGAGGGGGGACCTGGTGACCATCTATAAACTCACTAGCGGGGACCAGAAGGGTTTGGGAGAGACCTTGTTTCCCCTAGCGCCCCCCGGGATAACAAGGAATAACGGCCACAAGTTGTTGGAGAGTAGGTTTAGATTAGATATCCATAAGAACTACTTCACAGTCAGGGCAGCTAGGATCTGGAACCAACTTTCAAGGGAAGTGGTGCTGGCTCCTACCCTGGGGGTCTTTAAGCAGCAGCTTGGAGCCTACCTGACTGGGGTCACTTGAGCCCAGTTTTCCTCCTGCCCAGGCAGGGGGGCAGACTTGAAGATCTACAAGGTCCCTGCCGACCCTACATCTATGATTCTATGATACTCTAAATCAGCATTTCTCAACCCATGGGTCGTGACCCAAAAGTAGGTCACAAGAACATATGAAAGGTTGTGGAGAAACTTTAAAAAATGGATCAACGAACTTTAAAAATGAAAAAAAGCTTGGGAAACCACAGGTTTCCCCTTTCAGCCTGGCAGAGTCCCAACCTGTAAGGGGTTGATTGGGGCTGGGGGAGCAGGAGGAGGGCGATCAGGCAGGGACACCACATGCATTTGTGCACACACATGCATGTGGCAGCCAGGCAGTGAGGAGAGCAGCTCCCACACATCCCCACAGGTAAGTCTGTGGGGCAGAAGCAGGGGGAGAAGGAGGCATAGATGACATGCCAGGGGGGCACAGGCAACACTGCTGCCATTCCACCCCTTCTCTGGTATAAAGCCTTGGCCTGAGGGGAGCAGCAGCCAGCCCATGGCATCAGGGTAGAGCCATGGCCCAGCATCCAAGCATTTGGCAGCAGGAGGTGGTGAAGGTGGTGCAGGAACCACCCCACCCCCCAAAAAAAATTGTTACTCCTTGCGCTGCTGGTCGCATGGCTGGCATGGGAGTCCCAGCAGTGGTGGCAGCTGTGAGTCTCGCTGCCCCGCTCTGCCCTCCTATGCCGAGCCCTTCCTGCTTGGCCATGGAGGCAGCTCCTGCTCTTGCTGGTTCAGCCAGGTTGCAGCCCCATGTCTGCTGTGGGTACACAAATCTGGAGGAACACATGCACTCCCCATGCCCCACACACCCACCTCCTGCCCCACACATTGAGGGGGGCTGGGGCCTGGTCACAGAAGGTCAGAAGCGAGGGGCACCAGCAGGGCCAGGGGGCTGTTTTCTACTTAAACTATTTACTGGGTTGGGACTCACCATTTACGTTTACAAATGGATACAAAAAAAGGTGGAGAACTACTGCTCTAAATGAGGCCAAGCTGGTCCCAAGCAGAATAGTGCTGCATCTTCATCAAAAGGAGCATTAGGTGTGAGCCCAAAAACCGCACTGCTATTTTTGCAACTGCATCATATTGACTCATGTTGAGTCTATAATCCACCAAAACCCCTAGATCCTCCTCAGCAGTACTTCCACTCATCCTCCCATTCTGTATTTGTGCTTTTGATTATTCTTCCCTAGATGTGTCATCTTACACCCGTCTGCACTGAACTTCATCCTGTTGTTTCTAGTCCAGCTTTCCAATCTATCAAGATCCTTCTGCCTTCTACCTCTTGTCACAACCCAGTGATTTTGGTGCCTCGGCACGATGGAATTTTCCCGCCACATGAGAGCTTCTTGCACAGCAAAAGGTTTTTGTTGCAACAGAAAAACCTCGGTGCAAGAGAGTTCCCGCCATTTGAATGCAAATTTGTGTCCCGCTATTGGCTAGTTCTAAATTATTCCTACATGGCAGCTAGTAATTGGCTTGCTAGCCGTTTAAAATTTTGTGCGACTTCCGCCCAAGTCGGAGAACTTTGAGCACGCTGCAGAGTGCCTCTAAAGAGATCTGACTTGCGGCTGAGCTGATCGATAGACTGTAGTCTATAGAGAGGTCAACAAAAGATGTCAAGTACTTCAACAACCTAATCCTTCTACTCTGCCACAATGTATGTTCGAGATGGCACAATTCCAACAAAGTAAGTGGGTCGGAGTCACACTGGATCTAAAAAACATGTTCTTTTCCATCCCGATAACTGACCCGGAAGGAATACTAAATATGTGCATTGATGGCACTATGTACAGGTGGACGGTTTGTCCACAAGGATATCGCAACTCTCCATCACTAGCTACTGGTGCCATGAATAATACCCTAAAGAATTTTCAAGCCTCACACTCTCTTCCCCCAGAGGAGGAATTGAGAATCTGGAGTTATGTCGATGA